CTAGGATCCACCACTAACCATCATAAACTTAAACTCCTCAAAACTCACAAACCCATCACCATCTCTATCAACCCCTTTGATCATCTTCTTACACTCCTTCACACTGCATTTTCCACACCTAACCCTCACAAGAACCCTATGAAGCTCTTCGGCCGAGATCAAACCATCGCCGTTCACATCAAACACCCGAAAAACTTCCATGATCTCATCACTTTCCTTAAAAATCCCACGATTTTCGGAATCTTGCTCGTTTTTCACCACAACGGCTACAAACTCGTCCAAGTCGACAAAACCGTCACCATTGAAGTCCATTTCGTTCATCATTAGCTCGGCTTCTTTAGAGGCCCTTTTCTTGTCGTGGCCTAACGTTAGAAAGACGCGTTTGAGGTCCGCGGTTGATATTTTGCCGTCTCCATTTGTGTCGATGAGGTTGAAGAGTTGTTTCGGGTTTGTCAAGGATTCTATGGCTTGAAAATATGAGCTTAAGTTGGTGCTTTTACAATTTTTCAACAAGTTTAGCTTTCGGAGAAGGCTTTTAGCTCGGTTGAATTGTGAAGTGAAGCATGGTTTTGTAGATTCTAACATGATTATGATGTAGTGTTGTTTTTCTTTTCCTTATTTGTGTTATCTAATGGGAATGAGTAGTTGAAGAAGCTATGTAGTCTAAGAAGAGGGTGTGGAATAAATTCGTAAGGATAAGAGAAGTGGAGAAAATAAAATAATCAAAATCAATGATTAATTTGGCCTTTTTTTGGACTAAAAATGGGAACTTGTGGGCGAGAATGAGATGGTTTTGTATTTGGTATTTGCCTATTTGGTAGTTTTGACATTCTATTCACTTTTTTTTTTTTTTTTATGTTGTTTCCATATTATGTGTATGAATACCAATATTTTGTTAGCACAATAATTAGATACATAGTTAAATGAAATATCATAAACATTTAAGGGAGCAACGGATCTTAATTATTTTATGTTCAACATTTTTTTTATAACTACGGTGATTGACCGGTAGGGAAGTCAATATTCATTAATAATTGTGATGTACATGAATCGAATTTCTCTATCAATCATATTCTTATAAATAATGATAGGTATTAAATTCGTGAAAATATTTAAGCACACTCTTATAAATGATGATAGGTACCACTTGAGGTACAAAATCGTGAAGATAAAATTCTACACATTTTGCCGATGTGGCTTAATCTGTAATACTTTTTAAATAAAAATGAAGATATTCTATAAAATATGATAGTTTTATTTGTATAGTTCCTGTTTTGACACTCTTAATCTTAGAATGTAATTTATGTTGAAATCTATATCTATATATCTATATATCTATATAAAGAGAATAACTATTTATTATTTACTAGTACAGAGCCCGTGCGATGCACGAGGTACACAATTTTAAGGCTATTTATTCAGGCTTAATGATATACATGAATAAAAAAAAATGTACGGGATATATATAGTACGTGACCCGTGCGAAGCACGAGATATATTAATTTGGAGAATATTATTTTATAAGATGTAATATTCAATAAAAGTTTATAATACGCAAGAAAATTGTAAAATGTTCAATAAAAGTTTTATAATATTCAAGTGGAGTCTTAAAGTCTCTTGTACATTAAGACTACTGACAAAATAATATTTTAATCAATGAGTTTTCTTTCCTTGTAGCCAAATTGTGAATGTGATTTGAGGAGTACAACAAATCGATATACAGCTGACTTGCTTTTTTCATTGTAATTTTTTATCTTTTTTTTTATAATGAATTTTACTAAATATAAACTCTCAATCTATGGTGTTAATCAACGTTTGAGTCTAAAAAATTAGGAATTTTTACCTCTTTTAATCAACGTTTAAGTCTAAAAAACAATAGAATTATTATAAGTTTTTTTTCTACATCTTTTAAAACATTAAATATGAGCATTGTTAGGGCTAGCTTGTAAAATAATTAATATATTATCTTACTAAAACATTTATACTAATAAAAATTTAATTTTAGCATATAAATTTATCCCTTGATATAAGAGAAAGTAACAGTTTTACTTATTGTTGTTCACCATAGAATATTTAATTATTATTTTATTATATAATAAAAAAAAAATTGTTAAATAGTGTAGTAGAATTGTTATAAGTGTATAGATTTGTTTTATTTGTCAAAGTGTACATTTTTATTTGGTATTTGATTTTTTTATTATTAATATCTTTTTATTATACTTACCTTTTTAAAATAAATCAATTAAATAAATCAATTAAATAAATAAAATATTATAATACTAAAATAGTAATGACATTTAATGCAGTTGACTTTTCTGGATAGTAAATATAGTAAATAGAATCTCCTTTTATATAAGTATAGATTATATAATACGGAAATAGTAATGCAATAAATGTTGTTGACTTTTCTTTATACTAAATCTGGTAAATGGTATACCTTTTAATATAAGTATAAATTATATATAGTAAGCAAAAAATCCACCAAAATTAATTGCATGCCATTTTTGGAAAATTTTTGAATTAAATGCAACATTGAATGTAATCTTTGATTTTAAATTGATAAGTTACTGCATACATAATCCGTAATAATTTTTTTTAAATCTTTTTGTAATAGCAAAAAAAAAAGGGTACAAAACCGAATTTATTTCAAATACTTTTGTATTTAGCGTACAATTCTGACTAACTTTTTTAAATATTTTTTTAGGTAGCAGAAAGTATGTTCGTGTATCATAATTTTTAATATCTCAATATTTAATTATATCTTCTATATTAATTTTTTATCATAAAATTCATAATGTCTAATTACTATTTTTGTTAGGAATATTATATTTTAGATACTTTTAAACATATATTTAAAATGATAAGTCGTATGGATACAAAATCATCTCAATGTTTATTTATATTATCATATACATCCCCTCTCATAAAATTCAGCACATACTTTTCAAATTTGGACAATTTTTTTACACATTTTATAGATCAATAATATGTATCTATAAATATAGAGATGTTAAATTTCAGTGTTCTTAGACATGTTTCCCTCTCAAAATAGTTTAGAAAATTTTTAGGTGATTTTACATTTTTCAAAAATAATATAGAAGATTTTAGATATTTTTACATATGTTATATAATATTTTTAAACATCATGTTTTATGTTCTATATACAAGATAATTCTATATTATTTACAACATAAACGTTCATATTACGGGTATATTCATTTGGGATTTCTAAAACTTTTTAAAGTTTTAAAAATTCTAGTATATTTAATTTAGACTTAATGTCTTGGAATATTCATTTGAAAATTTAAAAAGTCTTACAAAATCCTTAAATATTTAACTTATTTGAGACTAGAATTTGTTATGACTTTTTAAGATTTGCTGAGATTTAAAAGAAAAAACATTATACAAAATTCCACCATAAATCGCACCTTCACACTTAAGATTTCGTATTATTCCTCTAAAATCTGAATATTTTAAAGGGTTAATTGCAAATAAAATCTTACCTTTTGTATAATTGCAAATAAAACTCAACCTTTTCAATTTGTCAAAAAAATATCAAACCTTTAATAAGTATTGTTGCTATTATGTCTCAATCACCTTCCGCCACCGCTGGACCGCCGCCAACCGCCACACGCCGACGGCCAACTTCGCTGGGTGTTGAAAATTTTTATATGATCTTGTAGCTCTCCTCCGTGCCGACAACATATCCAAGTTTCACGATGACTCGCTTTGACCCACGTGAAACCGAAGGTATCGTTGAACTCCTCTCCCAAAGCCGCATCTAGTGACGTCCACCTTCGCCGGAGGCGGTGACTTTTTCCGGTGACAACTTTTCCGGTCATCTCCTTATCGTTGGAATTTTTTCGTGAAACTCAGATATGTTTTCGGCACGGAGGAGAGCTACAAGATCATGTAAAAATTTTCAACATTCGACGAAGTTGGCTGGTGGCGGGTGGCGGTTGGCAGCGGTCCGGCGGCAGCGGAAGGTGATTGAGACACAACTGCGATACTTATTAAAGGTTTGGTATTTTTTTGTCAAATTGAAAAAATTGAGTTTTATTTGTAATTAAACAAAAGATTAAGATTTTATTTGTAATTAACCCTATTTTAAAAAGTCTCAAATCTTAAAAGGTCTCAAAGTGTAACTCCAAATCTTAAACTATATGCATTATATAAGTACTATTTAACTTATTTTATCCGTGCATCACACGGACTACGTATTGGTTGAATTAGAAAGGAGCACATCACACATTGCAATTAAAACTGCAGCCTAATTAATGTGCCCTCCTAATAAATATTTTGTAGCTGTAACTTGTAAGGAACTACGCGAGATTGCCGGCAATTTGGTGTCATTTTTTACTTTATTTTGGTTTTCCCGCAAGTTACGGAGCAAAATTCATTGAATAGCAAGATTTTGGTCGCCTTTTTGCCAGCTTTTAACATTTCTCATACTCCCTCCATTTTGAAATATAAGGCATTTAAGGTTATTACACAAATATTAAGGAGACATTAATTAATGAATAAATTGACTAAATTAACCTTATTTACTCTAATCGCAACCACTTCACACTTCCTTAATTTCAACACAATGAGGATATATTTAGAAAAAAATGCAAAAATTTGTCTTGATTTTTGAGCGCGCCTTATATTTCAAAAAAATTGAAAAATCTTTATACGCCTTATATTTCAAAATGGAGAGAGTACTAAACACATAATAATCCATTAATTAATTGTCAATTTTGCTCCTAATGTCAAATGCTGAACATATAACATACATACTTGTACAGAAACTACACATACAAATACTTTTTTTTTCCAGCTCAGGAATAAATAACCATACTACTCTAAAAATGAACTTTCGAGAGCTGAAAATGGACTTTAGAGTTGCTCGCAAATATTTTAGTCTGGTAAAGGCCTAGCTTCAGCTTGCTATTATAAGGCCCAATTTTACATATCTTTACTAACTAATTTGGGCTGTATTATTGCGTAAGTGGGTTAAATGGGCTGGATAACGACATAGGATGAAAATTACCCATTCATCCGCCGAGGTACTTGCTTAATCAGTTAATCTCAATATCAATTCAATAGTCACAATTTACAGACAGAAGAAGAAAAAAAAAAAAAAAAAATCCTATAAGATTGGGTGTGATAAACGAGCTAAAATTAGAGATTTTCGAATATACAAAGACTAAAAAAATTCTAATTTATATAGACTATCCTAACGAGCTTCAGGCTAAACAATTTAGACTAAAACAAATCGAATTTTAGCATACTATTAACATTTTTCACATCAACATGCATATGTGCATATATTCCTAATTTTATTGTCACTAGATATCTTATTTAATTTCATTCGTCATGATAAACAAAAGTGTTACCTTGGAGATTAAACGTTGGCATGAGAAATATACATTTGTCAAAAAATAAAATGGACATGAGACTGTTTAATTGTATTTACATAAAGTTTGTTTATCTAAATCAAGCGAACAAACAATAGAATAGACAAACATAACATGAAATCTTAAAAATGCCTTCTACATCAGTTGTCCAAATACAAAGCATAAAATTAATTTCATAAAAAAAATTACAGTTAGAGATGCAAATTAAAAGAGTGCAGTTAACATACCTAATTAAGGACCAAAATATTTCAAAAACCCAACTTCCAAAACATACCATCAAAATCCATTTCAAATTTTTTTTTTTCTCTCCCTAATTTCTATTTTTTCCTTTTTTTTTTCTTTTTAATTTCATTTTTGGGTCTATTTTTTCACCTCGAATTTGGGGGCAAAGCTGAAACTTGGTGATTTCTGCAGGGGACTGCAGGAGGCGCGTGCCGGTTCAGAAGCTCACGCGCCACTTCTTGGAGGTCGCCGCCGCCGCCATCGGCGGCGGAGGCCGACGGCGGCAGCTCCGTGGGGGCCCTGCCGGCGGCGGTGGGAAAGTGGCGCGGGTCTATTTGCTGCCGCTGATGAAGGGTCCACGATGGGTACTGCGCCATGCTGTCGAAAAACGCCGACAGCTCGTAGGCCGCCGACTGGTCGGAAAACGGCTGCATCGACGGCGGCGGGAAGAGGGGATGCGGCGGCGCCGGTGCCGGCGCCGGCGGCGGAGTCGGAATCTCTAGGGCGGCGAGGTGGGCTTGCAGGTAGTTGAGCTCAGATTGGAGATTCACCACCTGAAATAATTATAAGATTTAATCCAATACGCTTGAAATTGAACATTTTTTTTATATGAAATTAAATGGGCTAGCTCGTTTATGAGGCCT